AGAATAGAAGAGAAAGAATAGAATAGAATAGAATAAAGAGAATAGAATAGGAGGAATGAAGATAGAATAGAATAGAATAATATAGAATAGAATAGTAGAGAATAGAATAGAATAAGAACAGAATAGAAGATAGAGAATGGAATAGAGAATAGAATAGAGAATAGAAGAGAAAGAATAGAATAGAATAGAATAAAGAGAACAGAATAGGAGGAATGAAGATAGAATAGAATAGAATAATATAGAATAGAATAGAATAGAATAGAATAGTAGAGAATAGAATAGAATAGAATAGAAGATAGAGAATGGAATAGAGAATAGAATAGAAGGAATGAAGATAGAATAGAATAGAATGGAATAATGAAAAAGAATAGAATAGAATAGTAGATAGAGAATAGAATAAGAATAGAATAGACAATATAGAATAGAATACACTAGACTATAGGTTGCTTTAAGAGGGAAGGACTTCCACTCCCAGAATTGTTATTTAGATAGTAACCTGGTGGTTAAGTGAATCCAGCTGCCACGTTGACTTTTGCTGCCGCTACGACGGTCATAAATACGGGTCAGTTGCCAAGCGCCTGAATTTCGAACCCGTGAGCGGGGCGAGGCTACAAATGGTCCTGCGTGTGAAAAACGGCCCCAAGTCCCTTTTTTTCCGTTGCCGTTGTAACTTTGGAACGGTCCCTAAATGAACTAAGTCGTAGATACCTGGATGAATTTTCAAGTTAAGCGTGTCTAAAAAAAATCCAAATAATTGGCACTTTTGTCCATGAAAGTATTCTTTGCTTTAGATCTCCAGGGGTCCAAATATGGGAAACGATCCCGGAACTGACAGCCCTGCATTCCCGCGTCGGCCGTCCCGGAAAATCTCAGAAAGCGAAGAGGACGATGGCTTTTTAGAGATTATGAACGGCCCGGAGAGCGCTGTAAGTTCATGCTGGTTTAGTCCTGGCTAGTTACATTAACCGGGCCAGATTCTTCCAAGGGGAGAGTCCAGAACAATTTGATTCCGTCCTGCAGCCTGGCGAGATAGTGTAGATTTTGATTTTTTTTTTTCCTAAACAAACCAAGGAAGACTAATGTTTAAAAAAAAAACATTTGCAGAGGACACCAAGCTGGCAGGAGTAGCCGACCCCCCAGAAGATCAACTCAGGATCCCAAAAGATCTTGACCAACTCGAAGAATGAGTTTGAATTTATTTTATTTTATTTTATTATTTTATGTTATTTTATTTTATCATTTTATGTTATGTTATTTTATTTATTACTTTATTTTATTTTTTTATTTTATTTTAATTTTGTATATTTTGTTTATTTTTATTTTATTTATTTTATTTTATTACTTTATTTTATTTATTTTATTTTGTTTATTTTTATTTCTTATTTATTTATTTATTATTTCTTTTATTTATTTTTTATTTTATTTTTTTACATTTTATTTTATTATTTTATTTTATTACTTTATTTTATTTATTATTATTTAATTATATTTATTTTATTTATTACTTTATTTTATTTATTTTGTTTAGTTTTATTTTTTATTTATTATTTATTTATTGTATTTTACTTATTCATTTTTTATTTTATTATTTATTATTTTTTATTTTATTATTTTAGTTTTTTTATTTTGTTTATTTTTATTTTTTATTTTAGTTATTTATTTTTATTTTTTTATTTTCATTTATTACTTAATTTTATTTTTTTATTTATTATTTTATTTTATTTTTTTATTTTTATTTATTTATTTATTATTTTACTTATTTATTTTTAATTTAATTTAATTTTAATTTTAATTTTATTTTTATTTTATTTTGTTTATTTTTATTTATTTTTTATTTTATTTTTTGTTTTAATTTATTACTTTATTTATTTTATTTATTTTTTATTTATCTTTATTTATTTTACTTATTTATTTATTTTATTTTAATCTTTTTAAATTTTATTTTTATTTTTTGGGGGGAGGAACCGTCCGCGGATCTTCTCGGTTCCCCTACCAGGAAAACGAGCAGCGAGGAACTTCATCATGTCAGTGTCATAATTTCTTGCTGCCTTTTGTTTTTTCTTTCTTTCTTTTTTCCTGCCTATAACTTCAGGGCTTTTTTTTTTTTGTCTCCAGAACGATGACGAGATGCCGTCGGACATGTCGAGCCTCTGGACCGCCCCGCTGGTGGTCTCCAAGGGGGAAGACCTGCCGGTAAGTTTTGGGGCTTTGAAGCTAGATTTAGCAAATTTCCCCCCCCTCCCTCTTTCTTTCTTTCTTTCTTTCTTTCTTTCTTTCTTTCTTTCTTTCTTTCTTTCTTTCTTTCTTTCTTTCTTTCTCTTTCTCTCTCCCTCCCTCCCTCCCTCCCTCCTTCTTACTCTTTCTTTCTCTCTCCCTCCCTTCCTCTATCCCTCCTTTCTCTTTCTTTCTTCCTTCCTTCCTTCATTCTTTCTCCCTCCCTCTTTTTTCTTTCTTCTCCCTCCCTCCCTCCCTTTCTTACTCTTTCTTTCCCTCCCTCCCTCCTTTCTCTTCCTTCCTTCTTTCCTTCTCTCTCTCTCTCGTTCTTTCTTTCTTTCTTCTCCCTCCCTCTTTCTTTCTTTCTCTCTCCCTCTTTTCTCTTTCTTTCTTTCTTTCTTTCTTCCTCCCTCCCTCCTTCTTTCTCTTTCTCCTTCCCTCCATATTTTAGGACACTTTAGAGCCCCATTTTCTGTCGGGCACCCTCTATTTTCTATCCTATTTTCTATTCTATTGCATTCTATATTCTATTGTATTCTAATTTCTATATGCTATTCTATTCTATTCTAATTTCTCTATTCTATTCTAATTTCTATATTCTAATTCTATATTCTATTCTAATTTCTATATTCTATTCTAATTTCTATATTCTATTCTATGCTAAGTTCTATATGCTATACTATTCTAATTTCTATACGCTCTTCTATTGTAATCTAATTTGTATATTCTGTTCTATTCTATATTCTATTCTATTCTATTCGTCCTTTGTAGGGTTCATGCTTCCTCTCCTTTGTTCCTCCCTCCCTCCTTCCTCTTCTCTCCTTCGTCTTTCCTTTCCCTCTTCCTTCCCTTCCCCTTTCCTTCCCTTCCCTTCCCTTTTGAAATCGTACATTGCCGCCTACTCGCCCATCGCAACTCCTGGCGGCTTCTGCGGATATCACAAACACCATCGAAAAAGAATAATAATAATAATAATAATAATAATAATAATAATAATAATAATAATAATAATAATAATAATAATAATAAAAGAATGACAGGGGCTTTGCCTTTGCCTTCCACCCAGAGCCAGCCTCCCCAATTGGGCAGCGCGGAGAAGGCCGCCGGCAGCCAGACTAGGACGACCCTGAAACGGACCGAGAAGGCCGCCGAAGAGAGCCTCGTCCCGGCCTTCAGCAAGCGGCGCAGGAACACCCACACGGGACTCGCCGAAGAAGCCACGGTTGGTAGCCGGACGCAAAGACGCACACACACCCCTCCGATTTGCCCTCGGGCCGCCAAACCGCAGGGACGGCGCTCGCTCCGCGAAGCGGACCCTTCAATCTTCTCTAGAAGCCTTTGTAGGAACAGGGTGGGGGGGGGACACATCCAGCAAGAGGAAGAGATCATTAAAGAGGCAGATTAAAAACATACGAAGCGCGGTGGAGGGAATGGGGTCTGTCTAGCCTAGCGAAAAGAAGGACTTTGAGAAGGGGGGGGTGTCTTCCCACATTGGAGGGGGCTGCCCCAAAGAAAAGGAGTGCGTGCGCGTGCGTGCGCGTGAAACTATATTCCAGAGCCCCAGAAGGCAGGACAAGAAGCCGTAAAGAGGATCAGGGGACCAGGGGCTAAAGCATACAAGTTGGGTCTGTGTACTTTAACGAAGAGAAGGACGAGGGGGGGACAGGAGAGCAGTCTTCCAGTATCTGAGGGGCTGCCCCAAAGAAGAGGGGAGTCAAGCTATTCTCCAAAGCGCCTGAAGGCAGGACGAGAAGCAACGGATGGAAACTAATCAAGGAGAGAAGCAACCTAGAACTAAGGAGAAACTTTCTGACAGTGAGAACAATTAACCAGTGGAACAACCCGCCTCCAGAAGCGGCGAATGCTCCAACAATGGAAGTTTTTAAGAAGAGTCTGGACAGCCATTTGTCTGAAATGGTGTAGGGTTCCTGCCTGAGCAGGGGGTTGGACTAGATGACCTCTGAGGTCCCTTCTAACTCTGTCCTTCTCTAATTCTGTCAGGGTCTCCTGCTTGAGCAGGGGGTTGGACTAGATGACCTCTGAGGTCCCTTCTAACTCTGTCCTTCTCTAATTCTGTCAGGGTCTCCTGCTTGAGCAGGGGGTTGGACTAGATGACCTCCGAGACCCCTTCAAACTCTGTCATTCTGTGATTCCGTCAGGGTCTCCTGCCTGAGCAGGGGGTTGGACTGGAAGACCTCTAAGGTCCCTTCCAGCTGTTATTTGCTCTGCTAGGCCTAGGGAGAAGGCTGAATGGCTGTGGTTGCCAGCGCCTCGGCATAGTCAGCTGACACCATCGCTGACTATAGGGGGCGAAACTTTGGCCCCCTCGGAGAGGGCGCGCAACTTGGGAGTCCTCCTGGATTCGCGGCTGGCACTGGATGACCATTTGTCGGCCGTGACCAGGGGGGCGTTTTATCAGGTTCGCCTGATCCACCAGTTGCGGCCTTTTC